AATTTTCAAACTTCATTTTCATTATTGTTATATTGCTAAGATTATTATTGCTAAGATGAGTGGACGAGCTCACGGCCCACTTAGTGTTAAGTGGTTAGCGGAGCCCATAGACATCCTCAACGTAAATGCCGCCACGAACCTCAAGATGTGAAATCTAAGGTCTCAGTTTTTACAGTACAACGGCTGCCGTTCAAACCGAAACTTATTACTGCTTCAGAAATAGGCGGGCTGGTTGTATCTACTCGTTCAAACTGACAAGACGCCCTACAACCGCTGTTAAAAGCTTTCGTATCTCTGAGAAATTATATCTGACCATGAAATTAATATCACGTTAGAAAAATTAGGAAAACTATTTGATTTTTTAAATTTATATTTCGTTATTAGTAGTTCAAGTTTTGTCGAATTGTGTTAAGACTTAGATTTATAATGGCTTTCAACCAGCGAGAACCAGATATGTGTTTCTGTTAAATCGACAGAAAAGTCACTGTAGGGTCGAAACTTTTCCCTAATATTTTTCAAGGTGTTAGGAAATTCATGTATAAATTAACGGGCACGCCGTGAAACTACCCATTTACGCCAATCAAAACAAAAAAGACCGTATGTCAGTGAAATTAAAATATATAATTGATCGTTTTCATTGTGATGTGGCTAATTACAAGTTGATGACTGGAGAGCCCAGCTATCGCTGCTAATGAATAGTGAAATCTCACAAACATAAAATACCATTGAAAAAAATCATAAGTAATACGTGTTCATACATAAATTCCAAATCACAAAGGCACATCTAATGCAGTAAAGATTGGTTCGAGAGACGATGAAAGGGAATAAAATCGTCCCATTTTTCATTGAACCGCTTAACTTGACATTATAGGCGTGGTTTGAAATCAAATTCTCTTTTATGAACAAAATTAATATATTACATTTAAAATAAGTTGTTATACGCTTAAGCATCGATTTACTATGATGTATTCAATGGTTTACTTAGACGTTTAGGTTTACGATTAGAGAATCTTGCGTTATAACATTTTACCGGTTTTTAATTCAATCGATATGGGTACATGATTTTGACCACTTCGATCCACTATATTCTAATAATCCCTTTGTAGCAGCATAATCACCTTTGGAATTCAAACCTACCACTAATTCCTTTCTAAATTTTTTTACGGCTTAGTTGACATTAACAAAGTTTGTAGTACAACGGCAGTCCCATCGATCAAACCGAAACGCATAACTGCTTCACGGTAGAAATAAGCAGGGTGGTAGTACCTACCCGGGCAACCACATAAGATGTCCTGCCGTCAGTAATTACGCAACATATAATTTGTGCGGATTTGATTATTATCACACGATCTTATTTCTTAATATTGAAAGCTATTTGTGAGCATCTGTACGTATTTCTGTTAAAGAATTGGTACCTGTCTGCGGGATTCGATTATAGTCACAGTCACAACACATCGGTACGAATGCACCGGGTGTCTTAATCCTTTAAGCTGCGGCGACTTAAAAAGTATTTTATACAATTTAAGCTATATGGGATACTTAACAAATCTTTTTTTGTTTTTATTGCCCTTGTAGGCAGACGAGCATACGGCCAGCCTGATAGTGAGTCTAAATTACTCCGAAATTGGACATCGCTCTAAACGTCGATCCCAAGTATCTCAATACTCGTGGAAGGTTGCGGGGATACCCTTTGGAATTGCAGCACTATTTGCATATAATAATAATAATAATGTTTTTATTTCAAGTATCCATGACTCATATAAATTGTTAATAAGACTTAGACCTATGTTAGTAGTTATATTTACATCACAATGAATTACTGTGGTAACATCCCATGGGAGATGGCACCACAGCGACCCATGTATATACAGTCCAGCCTGCTTGCGATCATGCTCAGGATACTGTTGGAGCTGGCCCTCACTCTGTTTACCAGAGATGCACACCTCTCACGCATGGTAGCGTAAAAACAATATATTATATATTTGCAGTGAATGCGCAAACAGTAAATAAATACTTAATCAATGATTAATATATAAATAACAGATAAATAAATAAATGCTACAGGGCCGAGGCCACCTGCGTTATTTTTGCTATAATTTAAATATCAAATTGAGTGTACGATAACCTACATAATATATTGATACTTCAAACTGGTGTCTCAAGACGTCATTAATGTTATAATGTCTGTAAGCTCCGGTAACTACAAATCACCCTGAGTTCGCTCGGCCTACACATTCTAGACGTAGCGTGGGACGCCCCCTGAAGAAGTGGGTGAGGAGCGCCGAAGACTTGGCTCAATTGTGTGGATTGGGAGAGGCCTATGTCCAGCAGTGGACGACTGTGGGCTGATGATGATGATGATGACACATTCTAGGCGCCCACAGAAATTGATATACTATAAAAAAAGCCTTGATCACACGCTTTTATTTAACTTCGTTGTGGCCTAAAGGATATAAATATATATAAACGTTCAGTGCATTTGTATCTAGCGATGCACTGGTGTTCGAATCCCGCCAATTTTTGTAATGGAATAAGTACTTAACGAATGTTAACGACTGACTTCCACGGTGAAGGAATAACGTCGTGTAATAAAAATCAATCCCGCAATATTATAATTTGTGTAATTACTGTTGGTAGAACCTCTTGTGAGTCCGCTAGGTACCACCACGCTGCCTATTTCTGCCGTGAAGGAGTAATGCGTTTCGGTTTGAAGGGTGGGGCAGCCGTTGTACTACGACTATACTTGAGACCTTAGAACTTATATCTCAAGGTGGGTGGCACATTTACGTCGTAGATGTCTATGGGCTCCAGTAACCACTTAACACTAGGTGGGCTGTGAGCTCGTCCACCCATCTAAGCAATAAATAAAAACTTGGTATGTATTATTTTTATTAACTTCAAAACGTCGTAACGATCAAGACGAGTTACACTTGGACAACAATGCCATAATTTTTTAATTTCCCTCTAACATCCTTATTGGTGGTATCAACAGGACAAAAAGAAATATAAAATGAAATGACAGTTTGATGCGCTATTTAAGCGTTTTTATTATTATTTATTAGTATTTATTATTGTTATTAGTCTAGATGTGCCGATGAGCTCAGGAGTTCTCTACTGTTGAGTGATTATGAGAGTTTATTGACAACATGAGTGTACTATCTAGCTTGAGGTATGTGGTCGAAATCCCATTTGAAATATAATATATTATATTAATGCGTTGTATCAGACATATTATGTAGATAGGAATCCGTCAAAGTGGGCACAAAACCGTCCTGCTACCAATGAAAGTTACATATGTACACTTGTCTCAACAAAATCATCCACGCTTCTCTTGAATACGCAAAATATATAAAATACTATGTATGGTGTTTTTTTTTTTACTTTATTTGTGTATTATGGAATCATGGTCACGAAACGTCACACTTAGCAGCATGTTAGCAATAATAGGTACATTGTTGTTCATACAATTATATATATATAATAATATAGAATATATACATGACTTTTTAAGCCAAGGCGATGATTTCGTAGCGCTCACTTGTCTACGTACGCAAGTTAATATCAAAAAAATACAAGCACGTGCCGCTAAAACTAAAACCACTTCCTTTTGACTTTATCACAGTCGGTAAAAAAGAAAACGTATTCTTTGATCGATTTTTTTTTATTGCTTAGTTGGGTGGACGAACTCACAGCCCACCTGGTGTTAAGCGGTTACTGGAGCCCATAGACATCTACAACGTAAATGCGCCACCCACCTTGAGATATAAGTTCTAAGGTCTCAGTATAGTTACAAAACGCTGAGCTCAAAATTTTAGAGTCTCGAGATCGTTTTGTATGCTAAGAGCAAATTGAATTTCAAACCGAGGAGCTGAAGTTGAAACGTTCAAAACAAAAGACGGATAGATCGTGACCTGATTAACAGATTAAATTATATTAACAATTATGATCACGTTCTAAAAGAGCCGGACTTAATTCGATTCTCATATCAAACTAAACTTTATGTAACGGTATCAACACGAGCGAACTTACATACCTTATTTTCAGTTAACAAAAAACTAAAACTTCAGATTTGTCTTATTTTTTTTAACTTAACTTATAGTAGTTTTGAAGAACATTATGCCTTCATCGAAACATAATGACAAAAATTTTTTTAGAACAGCGAATTTTAAGTTTAAATTTATTATTAGGTATATGTATTGGGTAAAATTTCATAGTGATAAATCAAGTACCATTTAATTTTTTTGAAGCTGTGTTAAAAAAAATTTTAGAAAAATAATAATCAATAATTAAATTTTCTTTTGTAACTAAAGATAGTTTCACCAATAATATCTTATTTATTTTTCACCTAGTCTTGGATGTTTTTTTTGTATCCATAACATAAGAGAAAATTTAAAAGTCGAATTTTGAACGTAAGAGAAAATTAATCATATTTGTGTTGAAAGAAAAAGCCCTTGATGAATTAAATGTTTCCGGTCTTGTTGACGCAGTTATTGTGAAGTCCAAAGAAACAAAAGAGTTTCTAATTACGTCAAAGTAACATTTAAAAGGTGGAAAGAATAAAGCCAGGTTGAAAAAAAAAAACAAATTATGTAACTGTAATTTTTTTTCAGTTCATACTGAAAACTTTAAAATGTTCGGAATAATAAAAACGAGATTAAATAATAAAAATAGCTTAAGTTGACAACTCACAAAAATCGAAGCATATACAACGAATATAAGTTTATATAAAATTTCCGGATTATTTGATTGTACATATAAGCGTTTGTGTATGTATATAGGAGGAATGGATGTATATAGGATGAATAGTTTCATTGAATTCCATGTTCAAAGGAGACAATCATATGAAAAAAAAATTAATCAAAAAATCTTTTTCGTGCAGTGTCAAAGTTCTTAACCTTTGCAGAAGAATCCAGTTACATACATCATTGTTTTAAACTCATGTCCCGTTTTGATACTTAAATTTATTAGAATCATAATAATACAGTGCTAATTTTACTTACTTCCACACGCGATCGAAGATAATATTGATAGAGACACAGCACAATCATAAGTCTAGAAAAACATTAATATGGCAACTACGTAAACTTAATTCAGTGTCACCCAAACATAGCGTTTCATGATACATAACAGTTAAATTGAAAATTACAGTTTGAGCGCACGTGGACGATACGAGCGCGGGAAGTCGGAGAATTTAGCGCCAAAACTGACGTCTTCCGAGAGTACCATCCCCCGCCGTGCTCCACAATATACTGACAACTGTCACCGAACACCCGGCCGGCGTTTTGCTCGCTTTTACTACGAACGCTTTTCCTCTTTTGCCCTATCTTGCTTTAACGAAAATTTATACATAGAGAAGTGTACACACATGGAGAATAAGTCAGTCTGAGACGACGGTATTTCGTGTATTCTTCATCGATGTGTGCAAAGAGCTCTGTTAGTGCGGGTGGCTCATCACGACGCATCTTCACATTGCTGCACGGATGCGTCGGTGCATACAATAATAAACGCAACATTGGAATAGAACTTTTAATTTTACTCTCATAAAGTAACTTTTTGCTTGCCGTGCTAATTTCGTTCATTCAGATACGATGCTAAAGGTGAACTGCGCATGTCCGTTATCAATCTTGTAATCGTGGAACTAAGAAAACTATCGCTGTCCTTATTTTTCTTAAGTTTGAATTTTCTACAGATTCTTATATTAAAAAATAATTTATTTTCTTAGATGGGCAGTGAGCACGCAACGTCATTGATCACAATTTCATAGTCGATTATCACGTGTTGCGTATGATGTAGCATTGCCGGTATTTGTTTATTACTTTGCTTCAGCCGAGTGTGTTTTTACGAGTCATAAAGTCGGGCACCTTAATTACTCAACAGCAGAGCGAATTGTAAATAAAATATGAATTTAATTGTAATATAAGCTTACCTGCGTTTGTTTATTTGATGTTAACGCTTTACGAGTAAATTCCTGGCTAGTCGACTGAGTTGATAATTTGCACTCCAAAATTTAACAGTAAAATATACTGAGTTTAAAGTTTTAGTTATTAAGTCACTAGTCCTCATCGCAAAACTTTGTATACGGCTCTGTTTCATTTAAAATTATTTCGCTTGATTTTTCATTTACTTCTTCTTACAACAAAAGATAAATAAATTATTATAAAATTTAATTTATCACTACTACATGATACATCTAAAGCATTATTGCAATAACAATTTTATTAAAATATAAAAAAAACTTTTTCATATACAATAATATTTTCATTTTGCCCAACGAGAGTACTCAAAGTCGAAGCCGCCCGCAAAACTTTCCGTCTCAAAACTACTTACAAAGAAACGGTCCTCGAAGAAAAAATAATTCTCTTAGAAAGGACGATATTAACCGAGAGATAAGAATGTAAGTGTATGAGTGAAGTACTCTTTCCGAGCGAACGGCGTTTATACAAAGCTATGAATAACAATTTAGCAAAGAGCCCAGAAGCACAAACACTTGAGCGGGGAAGTTTGTTTCGAAGTGCCCAAACTCACGAACAATGCCCGGACTCGGAGTCGAGAAAACCGGAATAAAACCTGACACTCTTCAAAATGTTACTACTATAATTGGAGTTTTATTTATATCTCGTTGCGCAAAGATACATTTGTTCATATTATTCGTGTTTACTTGTATTAGGAGGTATGATAATGCGGGTACATAGCGTCATCATGCCCTTTTCTGTAGCAAAGTTATATGCGTTCAGGTTTCAGTCGTTATACAGTTCAATTGAGACTACGATCTCAAAGTGTGTGATGGTATTCACGTTATCATGTTTATGGAGTCCTGTGATCAATTTAACATCGAATAGCGTATCTATTGTGACGATAAAAAACAATAAATAGGTTATGTAAAATAAAATATTAGTTCAGTCGTCATGTTAGATATATAATATATATATATATATCATAGATTTTAACGTCCGTCTGGTGTAGTGGTAAGTGACATGGTCACTACACTAGGGGGTCGCGGGTTCGAATCCCGCCAAGGGAAGATATTTGTATGATAAATATAAATGTCTTTTCCAGTGTTATGGATGTATATTAAATATATGTATGTGTATAACAAAAATCTTACATTTATTTCCGATATCTGGTACCCGTAACACAAGTTCTTTACGAACTTATCACGGGACCAGTTAACGTGGCGTGATTGTTAGTAAAATATTTATATTTATTTTATCTCCAAAAGCTCAAAAATTAATATACGCGTTAACTGTTAAGCTAGTAACTTAGATTATTAAAGGTAACTGCGGTTCACTGTAACGGAAGTATTGGCAAGGAGTGTGTATATTCCGGTTTTTTTTTAACAGTCTTCGTTTGAACGGATGTTTCATCTCGCTGTACTGAATTTGAATTTTTGTTTGCTTAGATGGATATTAATGATATCGGTCTAAGCTACTATCGGTTCTATAGTGTGGATGCTATTACATACTTTAAGATATCAAGTTAATCTCAATTGCTGAGAAATAGCATGTTTTTACTAATTATGTAGTTAAATATGTTTCAAAAAAGCACTCCTAACACTAAGACTCAGCAGACAACGTTTGTTAAATTGACTGCCTTCTCAAAAATGCTAAATGTATTTGTAAAGGATGTGAGTACCTTTTTTTAAAAAGGCATTTGCATTTTCTGACTTCCTTAGCCCTTTTCGTATTTTCTCTCATAAGGATCCAACGATAGAGTGGAAAGTGGCAGTTAGCTTGTTTAGCGGGTTCGTCTTTCTTCCACACAATGCCCCACGGCCATGTAGGGTGAAGTTTCGGCATCAAATTTCCCGCCACAAAAATTCACTACCTAAATTACGTTGTTGGGTAGTTTTCATGTAAATAACGTTCACACTACTGACCTTCGGAAATTATATGAATATGGCTAAACATTCTAATGGAAATGTGTGGTTCCATTTTTATTACTTAATTTATTATTTATTTATTTATTTATTATGAAGAATTATTACATTGTAACGGGTTGTATTGGGTTCGACTGTTATAAGAATAATAATAATATAAATCATTTATTTCAGACTATATTTCAGCCCATATATAAAAATACAATTTGGAAATACATAATAATATATTTATCCCGCCACATGTAGACGATTCCATGTTAAGAAGAATGGACAATCCATCTCCATTCTGTTCGCAATGAGTTGCAGATAGCCGTTGGAGCCGCCACGCACCCGCCGCATCAGGGATGCTGCTCGTTTCCCAAGTACTGCAGCAAAGCCATCAACACCGGCGTCTGTAAACATCCCCGACGTACTACAGAAACGCGGCAGCCCCATCAGTGCCCTGAACCCATTGTTATATTGGACACGCAAGGCACTGCAAGCCAGTTGCGTATACTTAACCCATAGGCTGCAGGTGTAAAAAGACTGACAGTAGGCCTTAAATAATGTGAATGCCTTAAATAATGTGAATACCTTAAATAATGTTATAGGTCAGTCGCCAGTCCTAGATAAACTCTTCATAATAAAATCCCTGAAGACTTGTCGAAATTATGCTTTTCCGTTTCGTAGCTCCGGGTTCAACAGTCAAGCATTTTGTCGGTTCAACCGCTTTTATAGATGTCACTTTGTCACACTCGCTGGCTCAGCCGCAGATAACGAGTTCACACGAAGATTCAAGTAATATTCTGCTTATTGTCATGAACATACGTATTACTACCTATTACGTATATTCAAGTCCGATGTTCGTAGATGGAGACTGCTTTATTTATAATAAATAAATATTTAATAAAATAAAATAAAAAGCCTTTTATTTCACCCATAAAAAAACTATTATATACTATTACATAACTTTTTTTTTGTTTTCGTTTATTATTATTTTATTAATATTTATTTAACTAACTTTGACTTTGAGTAGATTTGTTTTTAGTTAAGATTAGCGTGAACCCCTCTGTTTGAGGGTAAAGGCCTCCTCCCAAGATGCCTAATAGTCTCTATCTGTGGCCTTTCCACCCACAATTTACCAGCTGTCTCTTCGATGTCGTCAGCCCTTCTGTTTCTAGGTCTTCCTCTTTTTCAATTTCCCACGATTATTTATTTATACACCTACGTAATTCACTAATTCAAAATTGTCCTAATCTATTCCATGCCTCGGTTTCTAAATTTAAATCTATATAATATTAATTAATGTGCTAAACTGTTAGTGAATTTTCAAACAGAGCGTAAACGTTAGCTTAAAGTTTGATCAAACAACAATAGAATTAATTTAATTAAGCTGATCAAATTGAATCTCGTGTTCCAGGTTACGTAAATAAAACTTTTGATGTCTATTCAAATAGATTTCTAAACGGTAACTATCGAATTTGTCTGTTTTTACTACACATCATTTTATTTTCAGAAACAACAATTTCAGCTCTTCTATTGAATCCAGACTGTATAAACTTATTTTACTTGTTCAAAATTTATTCTATTCTCCCATTTTATCTTTTTTTCATGTAAATTAATTCAGATATATAATGTTATTATACTTTTTTATTTTATTTAAACTAAGATTATTATAAGCTAAGATAGGCAGAGGATTAATATAGTAAATGTCCTTAAACACTGAACACGTGATTACTTTATGGCTGCTGGTGGTAGACGGGAGGGTAATGTCTACCCTTGTATTCCCCATAAGATAATAATATAAGCCCTGTAACATATCACGTAAGGAACTCGAAAATACCTGGTCCCTAAATTTTTGTTGGTACAAGATTTTTTAAATCTCTCAAATATCTACTTTATGCCTTTAAAATTTATTTTAATCGAATAATCCTTGAACACTACACTTGAATTAACAAATACTTAATTGAATTTTCTATGTACATATCTAAGTAACTTATTGAGACTTTATAAAATATTTTGTTTCCTCTAGAATATTCAAAACTTAGCATCAGCCGGAGAAACTTCGTCGGGGCATTAATACAATAAACAAATGCCCGAATATATACGGAGAAGTTGTAAGGGTTAGAAAAACGTGGCCCTTATATTTATTGTCATCATAAAGCAAGACGCTGTAGGCGCTATGTCAGCGAGAAACTTATAAAAGTCCCTCCACCAAAGAAAGAGTTATGAAAACGACAACTTTCGGGGTCCAAACAAAAAATACTGGGTACACAGTTTCCTCAACTTCGGCCCTCAACAGGATTTTATAAATATTAAAATCTAAGCGAGATACTTTGAAAGCGGAAACTCATTTTTTTTCTTTTCTTTTT